GTGCGTTCTACTAAGTCGCCTTGACAACAAGACCAAGTTGCGACAACGAGGTCAACCCACTTCTATAAATTGAAAGGGGACTGCGACCACACCAGAGGCCACAAAATCTTGGTTTTCATATCTTCAATGAAGAGAATATTCTTTTGTGTGTTTGAATCAACTGTCATACATTCCAAAATACTGTTCCATCCATCTAATGTCCAGTCTCTGGCATGAGCTCAGCCACTTTCCTGTTCAAGCCTTTCATTCTTCGCCTAGTCCTTGTTGAATGTCTTACCACAGTTTCACACAATCTTGTAGCAGCCGGATCTCGATGATGGGTCATATTTCTCTCTAAAAGATGGCATAACCAAAGAAAGTGTGATGCTTTCTCTGAACACAGTTTTTACCACTCCCTTTCTTACTAGTTTGCCTATCTCATCGTTATGCATTTCTATACGAAATATGAATTTTCGCAATAAAAATAGTCTTTTTTTAACTAGAATTTGCTTAGCTCACCTTAATTTTTTATGAGTCTTCATACAGACCCGACTAAATACCCTACCTTTTCCCGCCTAAGCCGATCTCATCCCGACTCGGCATGCTGATGTGAATTTCAAGAAAATTCAATGAAAATTGAAGTTATACTCATTTATTTGTGGGAAAATTCAACTGTCCGTCCTTTATCACCTCACCCGAAATAGGTGGATACATTTCATATATCTAACCTACTCAAGTCCCCAAAACCAACACCTAAACAAAACAATTTCTATCTTGTCAGCTCACTTTTGGACAGCCTCCTTCTCCTTTTTCATCTGCAACGAGGCAAGCTCGTTGTCGAGGTCGTGTGTCGGCAGGACGACCTCGAGCCGATCAAGGCTCGGTCGCATCTTCGCCACTCGCCCGGCCTGAGTCTTGTCGGCTTGGCAGAGGCGATGTTGACCGTTCGTCTCGGTCACCAGACCCAGCATCGTCTCCATCCAACCGGCCTGTCTGCGCTCCGGTCGGCCGTCGATGTTGCCTCTTCCGGCAGCCTCAACGGGACAATCCTCGGTCAACGCGGTATCTCCGGCTCCGCTCAGCAACGACCTTCTGGAGGGGAAAATCGGGACGTCCGATGCGTCGTGTAGGCCGAACAGGGAGTCGAAATTCTCGCCCAGCCAGTCGGCTTTCGGCTCGTCAACCGAACTGGCCTGAGGACGTTCATTCAACAGAGCTTGTCTGGCCAGCCGCTGGCGTAGCCGAAGACCTCGTCCTCGGCTCGACGGTTTCTTCACTCGTCGCAAAGGGACCAGGCTCTGTCCTGACTGCCAGCGATCGCCTCTTCGGCGCTCCACACAGCTCGGCTTTATCTCATCCGGCCTCGAGCCTAGGAGTTTAGCTTTCACAGATTTCCCCCTTTCACATCGGCCGTCCTCATCTGCCTTCTCGTCTTCATCGACATATCCCATCCTCTTCATCGCCCCTCTCCTACCCAACGGACAGCCTTGCATTGCTCCATGAAGTCCCATCTCTCTCTTCCGCCCTTCATCATCTTCTTCTTCTTCTCCTTCTTCTTCTTCCTCATCCTCATCGTCTTCGTCATCTTCGTCTTCTCCCTCCTCTTCTTCCTCCTCACCGTCGTCGTCCTCCTCTTCCTCCTCACCGTCTTCTTCTTCTTCTTCTTCTTCTTCTTCTTCTGTCTCCTCCATCTCGAAAGGGAGTCCGCTCTGGGGAACTATTGAGGCGCCCGAGCGACATGTTTTGCCTGTGGCCGGAGTCGTCATCTCGACTCGGGACGAACTCGTGGTCAAGCTTGTTGCCAGAAGGGGTGGAGTGTCTGCGGGGTTGGGCGGGCCTGATGAATTCTCGTGTTGGTGATGAAGGTGATGCTGAAGGGTCTGCTGCCTGACCGTGTGCCAATCCTGAAAGGTGGAGAATAGGAGATCTTGCCCGACAGCAGAGTCAATACGCTCGACTATGGCGAAGGGAGTCGTTTGTGTATGATAGAGGTCAGGAGGACTGCACGAGGTGGGAACGAGAGGTGATGGCAAGCCGTGCTGATGGGGGGCAGATAGTGAGAATTTACGACGGAGAGGTAAATGGGAAAAAGAACGATTAGGATAGAAGTGTGCAGTTAAGCTGACGAAAAAGTATCATCACAAATGAGACATACTCATTGCACTGACTAAGTGTCACTATAATTTGATATGAGTATTTTATGGGATTATCGATAGAGGAGGTGATAATGACCGTTCGAGAACAGTTATTGTTCCGGATCCTCGGAAAACATTGAAAAATTCTCGTATTTAATATGATTATACACGGAGAATAGATTAATTTTGATCTATAGCTTGAGGTAAAATTGTCGTGGAGACATTCATTTTCTGTTGACTTGTATAATAAAAAGAGTCTTAGGTTAATCTCACCAGAAGACAACGGCTGAGTATCGTTGTTCGACAACCATTTGGCATTAATATGGCATTCAGGCCAATGAACATATTTTAATTTTTTGGTATTTAAGGATTAGGAGTTAAACCATACACGAAATGGGGAAAAACATCTCATATATACGATCTACTGGTAGTTTTGAAAAGCTACTTATAAACGAAAAATCTCCTTGGATTTCGGTGAAAATTTGCACAACTTTCGGACGTCATTAGAACAAGGCTTCATTCGTACACGTGTTGTATATATATATATATATATATATATATATAATTTTAATATATACATTTTGAGGAGGTATAAAGTGATTGGCTCATTTCAAGTCAGTCTTGGAAGATGTGCGTTCTTATGTGTCATAATGTTTGCATATCTCCACGAAACCAGCAGTGATAGCACAAAATAATTAGAACAAAGCGCATCGTTTGTTCACAGTCATCAAGGTTTAATGACCATCATCACCTCTTTTTAGTGTTCTAAACATCACCCTGATTGCGTAGTGTCGGGCACAAGTCTGATCAAGTTGATGATGCTTGCTGGATGTTAGTCATTCAACCTGTTATTATTATTTTTCGCTATCCCTGTTTGCTTTCTTCATTAAATAAATCACTTTGTACCTCATCAAAGAAGAAATATATACAGCATTTCGAGATTAGCCAGTGAGTTTTGATGACTCGTCAAGTTGTATATGGTTATACAGATGCTAGTCATCTCTGATGACGTAAGTTTTCCCAGAAATCGAAAGAAATAGCCTCGGAAACAGCGTCAACAAGAATATGCCAATCTAGAGCTGGCCAAAAGGAATCCGCCATTGTCTTCTGGTATAACGAGCTTCGAATCTCTTCACCATACACTTTTGTTCTAAATGGGAGACAGCTCAACGAAATGGGGGTGATAGGGAAAATGGAATTATGTAGATGCACACGATAGTATGGAAGGTGAATGTGTGCCTATGACGTTCTGTACAGACGAAAGAGTTTTAGGGAGGTCGATTGTATGCGGACTGCACGTATCACTTTTGAGGGTTCCTTTCACAGATGGGATGATTGTCTGTTGCTGTCTAGCCGTCTCTAAGGCATTCATCAGCCCCCTGCGAGGCGGGGCTTTTGTGAGCGGAGACTGGGAGAATCCAGTTGAACGGAAGTATCAATGAATCTAACTATTTGCTGTACATGAGGCAGGCCTTGTTTTGGGAACGCAGTAAAGCTCCATGGCATCGTGTCACATGAGCCTAGGCTCCCGGTAGCAATGCCTTCAGGTGAGAAGACGCTTTGGCGACCTCCAAAGATAGTTTAGGGCTGATAAAATTATCACATCATAGTCATATGTTGCCTCGAGTCTGTCAGAAGGTGGGTGTTGGGCGCAGGGTAATGATAGCGATCTGGAAAGCCGGAAAGATGTGACAACAGAGCATGTCGCGACAAGCAAATGTGGCAAGTTTTCAAGCAGTCTTTGACAGCTCATGTGTCCTTGTGGGACCTACAGGCCCAAGGAGTCTGGATGGGAGGGCATGAAAACGAAAGCCCATTTTTCGTCAGTTTTTCCTCGATCTCGGACCTCGAGATCGCCACCTGGCACGAAGTTTAATGTTTCCTACTCTCCACAGCCATCTTTCGAGGCCCGGCAGAGTCAGGTCATTTAGTAATGTGAATGGCAACTTACAAGCATATTGATACCAACAGTTTTTTCTTCAAAGTTCAGTCTTGGCGCACAAACAGAATCAGGCCCAGCCTCGATATTCGGAAACTAAACAGTACGACTTGAAAGATGATGCCGCTTGAATTTTTGTCCATAAAAATAAAATTCACTTTAAGACTTCTACTGCGGTTATTGTCAGTGCCATAAAGTGAGCAATAAAAATGTCCGTGTGCATCGACATCATTTTCATGTACATTCTTAGACTTTTGCTCTTAACTGACATCTTTTGAATGGAAAACTCCTTTTTGCAGAAAAGGCTCTTAATTACAATCGTTAGTATTCATAATGTGAATGATAATTAGCTAGTACTAATGATAGATCTACTGATATAATTAATACCGAATTCTCCAGTCGGGAAGCAACTTGGAATATGATGTTGCTTAAAACCTTGTCCTTAAAAATGGAATTCACTTTAGGTCCTCTGCTATATATATATTGTTATATATTCTGTTATATATTCTGTTATATTAGAGTTAATATTGAAATTAAATATATTATTAGGTATTAGTTACTACAATAAAGTTAACTATCATGTAGATGTTCGCAGTCTTTTTTAGCAGCATAGTGCTGGTTTAACTTAATTCTTGCACTTGGGTTGGAGCGACAGGGAGGCCTTGTGGAACGTACCTGATCCCGCCTCCTCTGCCAGAGCATTCATGACGATTCTCACCATTGGACAGATGGCCGTTGACATCGGACCGTTGGGAATGTACCATTTCAGCGGTCATCAGACGACGTGGAACCGGGTATACTCTATAAGGTCTGCCTATTGCTCCAAACAAGTTGCGAAAACGAAATGCAACCAACACTAATTATTATGCAGTTCCTGTGATTCCTGAAGTCACCAAGTTAGTCATTTCTCTAGAATGTCATGATTCACAGGAGACCGTACCTCGCCTTGATGGCAAAACTTGTTCGTCAAGTTTCGGATTGAATGTTATTTCACTTTACTTTTTGTGTCTAGAATCATATAGACCGATGGCAGTAAATGAATCTGGAGGATCTTGGCTTGTCGTAAAAATCCAAACCATCCTGTCCCGAGGTTTCCACTTATGCTGGGGATGATGAGAGCAAGACGTGGTCAAAATTGTATTCCAAGCTGTAGCAGAGTGCCCTTTGGTAGGCGGCACTTGGCGAACTTGACTGGCCTCTTAAGGCCTTTCATTCACTTTACTGCCGACAGTCTCATTTATCCGTCCTTCCGTCAACTGAAGCGACCTGCACAAGACCGCAGTTGTTGCGTCTACTTAGCGCTCATTTCTCCCAACAACTGTTCATTGTAAAGCAACCGAAATCCGTTTCTAGCGCCATTTATTCTAAGCGCCAAAGCTCACCTCATGTCGTCTGGTGTGCTGGGCAGTGATGGATGGAAGATGGAGAAATGAAGAATCTATTCAATTGCATTGGCCAACGATGAAGAATGTGAGTTGCCATTCGAAGCGGACTAAAGAAGGCCTTCTTCGTCTCCCTAGTCGGCGTCTAGACAAGGATATGCAGCCTCAGATGTCTACTGGTCATAGGATGCCATTGGATTACAACATGATAGTATTTTCGACAATTTACTTTATGCCCCAAATGAGAGAAAGTATGCATTACTGTTTGATGCGACATCCAGCGTTTGCATCTGTGTCATAGGCATGATGGGTTAAAGATTTCACCCGAAACTATGAAAGGTGTCTCGTGGACTGTGTCAATCTGAATATCGTATTAAAGCCAAAAGGCTGTGAAACAACGAGACTCGGCTTCGTCTTCCGATGGAGTCAAATAATAGAATCTATTCAGCCCGCAATTTCGCACGAAATGAAGGTATCTAAACCCTGATCGGCATTGGCATTGAGAAGAATCACGTTTGGCGCCAAGTCATAAGGCTTTAAACGGAGAAATGAAGTCATATGAAGAAAAATTGGGTTTCGAGAACTCTCTCTCGGTTTGTTGTTTGTTGAGCTCGCTTCCATTTCGAGTGAAAGTGTTTGGTGAACAGATTCGAAGGTCGACCCCAGCAGAAGACGACTGTAACTTCCTCTTTACCATCTGTTGATGGGATATATTGGAACATTTTAACTGACGGTGTTCCCAAGGCAATCTCCTTGGATGCCGGTGAAAGTGGGCTATGATTTCATCCGTCGTCTGACAGACATCATTAGAGCAGGGTAGCATCCTTACAATTCATATTCAAGCTAACGAGTCAAGAAAACTTACAGGCCTATCCCAGAATGCTGTATATACACCCCTTACCTAAACTCTTTGATTAATTATTAAGTATTTTTCGAATTAAGTATTGTTTTCGTGACTACCAGTAAATCATTCATATGAGATGCATTCACCCAATTTCGTTTAAGGTAAAAGAAGAATTTTCCCACAATGATATGAGTTGAGCTCACGTTTCCATTCAATTTCACATAGCCTTGCTTTACCAAAAGTTGTTTTCATCCCGGCTGGAGTGGACTGCAGTTTCGACCTCGCATCGGTCTTATCAACACCATCAGCGGGAGTCGAACCTCGACAGTCCACCCTGGATGAGAACAACTTTTGGGAAAGCAAGGCTATGTGAAATTGAATGAAAACGTCAGCTCAACT